AATACTGTCACTCGGTGTATAAGTTCTCACATTGTGTCAGCACCCTCACTATGTCACTACTCATTCTGTGTCAGTAGTCAGTGTGTCAGTACTCTCATTGAGTGTGAGTACCCTCACCGTGTCAGTACTCTCACAGTCAGTACCCTCACTGACTGTCAGTACTCACACTGTGTCAGTACTCTCACTGTCAGTACCCTCAGTCAGTACCCTCACTGTCAGTCCTCACACTGTGTCAGTACCCTCACTGTATATTACTACTCACAGTGTACTCTTTGGTTTGGTTTGGTTCTATGAGGACTGACAGGGTACTGACTGAGGGTACTGACAGTGAGAGTACTGACACAGTGTGAGTACTGACACTCAATGAGAGTACTGACACACTGACTACTGACTTTACCGAATAGAACCAAAGAGTATGGATCCTTGCAGTCACGAAAGCTTTAAATCTAGAATTACTCTTTGGTTCTTTCGGTAAAGTCACGTAGGTAGAAGAAATAAAAAGAATATATCACGACATTTTGATCGCAACAATAACCACTCACGAATGCTTCCTGAAGACGAACGCTTGTTACTCTTTGTTTTTTTCGGTAAAGTCACGTAGGTAAAAATAAATAAAATAAATGAAAACAACTAAATTAAATCACGACGTTTCGGAGGCAACACAAGCCTCCGTCTTCAGGTGGAAACCGTCACAGCAAAATTGCTGTATCAAGTGAAGAAAGCTCTCAGACCCGAGATTATATACAGGATAAGGGGGGGGGGAGCCAGGAAGGGCCGTGGGGGGGGGGCTAAGTTAAGCCACCTTTTGTTATGCTGCAGGGGGTTAGGGAGACGGAGAGATCCACGAGAGCAGGCGGTGGCAAGTGGTTGAAGAAAATTACACACATGAACAAGAGTCAGGAGGCAGCATTTAAGCTGACAAACTGGTTGCCTTAACTTAGCCCCCCCCCCCACGGACCTTCCTGGCTCCCCCCCCCCTAACCTGTATATAATCTCGGGTCTTGGAGCTTTCTTCACTTGATACAGCAATTTTGCTGTGACGGTTTCCACCTGAAGACGGAGGCTTGTGTTGCCTCCGAAACGTCATGATTTAATTTAGTTTTCATTTATTTAATTTTATTGATTTTTACCTACGTAACTTTACCGAAAAAAACAAAGAGTATGAATCCTTGCAGTCACGCAAGCTTCAAATCGAGAACGAACGCTTGTGTTGCGATCGAAACGTCGTGATATATTTTTTTCTACCTACGTGACTTTACCGAAATAACTAAAGAGTATGGATTCCTGCAGTCACGAAAGCTTCAAATCAAGATTACTCAGTGTAATAATAGGGTTTTTCCCCTTTTTTCTGGCAACAAAACTGAAACCTTTTTACAAGGATTCATGTCTGCATTAACCACAATACCTGCAGTCAAAATGCAAACAAAAAAATACTATGATAATATATGATGCATTGTCTTTGAAACTGATTGGTCCACACCAAAGGACGGCTTTCTTTGGTGTGGACCAATCAGTTTCAAGGACAATGCATATATTATCATAGTATGTTTTTTGTTTGCATTTTGACTGCAGGTATTGTGGTTAATGCAGACATGAATCCTTGTAAAAAGGTTTCAGTTTTGTTGCCAGAAAAAAAGGGGAAAAACCCTATTATTATATTTTGGTACTGGCAAAAGAGGTCGAATGATTACTCGGTGTGTCAATACTGTCACTACTCACTATGTTGTTATGAGTGGTTGTTGTTGTGAGTGGTTGTTGTGAGTGGTTGTTGTAGTTGTGAGTTTGTTGTTGTCGTGAGTGGTTGTTGTTGTGAGTGGTGGTTGTTGTTGTGAGTTGTTGTGAGTGGTGGTTGTTGTTGTGAGTTGTTAGGAGTGGTGGTTGTTGTTGTGAGTTGTTAGGAGTGGTGGTTGTTGTTGTGAGTGTTTGATATTGTGAGTGGTTGTTGTTGTGAGGATCGTTCCCCAGTAGTCGTCTCAAGTGCGGGGCTGGGAGGTGGAATGGAGACGCAGAGCTGCGGAGGGGGCAAGTCCAGGGGGCTCCTCACCACGGCACCGCGGCAGCCCCTGCGCTGCGTAGCGGTGACGAGGCCACCACCACGTGGTGCTGCTCACGTGAGCACCACCACCACCACCACGTGGTGCTGCTCACGTGAGCACCACCACGTGGTGCTCACTGCTCCAGGCACCGCTCTGTGTGCGCCAAACCACCTACCGGTGACCACCACGCGCTTAGCGCTCACGCACACTATGACTCCTACGACTACTACTACACTCGCTGTGTGTGTTAGGACTCATGGTGTGGCAATATTCGCGCTGTGTCAGTGCTCACACTGTCGGTACTCACTTTGTCATTACTCACCCTGTGTGGCAATACTCTCACTGTGTGAGTTCCCTCACTGTGTGGCAATACTCTCACTGTGTCAGTACCCTCACTGTGTGTCAGTACTCTCACTGTGTGTCAGTACTCTCACTGTAAGGCAGTGCTCACTCTGTGTCACTAACCGTGTGGGCCAGTACTCAGATTATTCATGGTGGTCACTGTGTAAGTCCTCAATGTGTGTCGGTACTAAATGTGTGTGTTGGTACTGTGTGTCTCAGTTCTACCTCACAAGATTATTTGGCTGCTATACATTTCCACATAAGCTATTTCGTTGAGCTATTATTTGTAGGCAGATCACTTCTGAAAAAGAGCTATGAAACTCAGTGGGCTATTCCTGGTAAATAAATAGGTTGGTTTTAGTTCACGACAACTGTGTGTCAGTACTCACTCTGGCCGTACTCTCAATGAGTGTCCATACTTACACTATGTGTCAGAACTCAATCTGTATAAGTATACACGTTGTCAGTCATCTCACTCTGTCAATCATCTGTGTGTCAGTACTCTCACTGTGTCCGTACTATCACTGACAGTACTCACTATATCAGTACTCACTGTGTTTGAGTACTCACACTGTCAGTACCCGCTGTGTGAATCAGTACTCATGCTGGCAGAACTCACTGTATGTGTCAATACCCACTGCGTGTCAGTACTCACACTGTGTCAATGTCCACTGCGTGAGTTAGTACTCACACTGTCAGTACTCTCCCTGTGTGTCAGTCCTCACAGTGTCATTAGTCCTCGTTGTGTTTCAGTACTTACACTGCTTCAGTACTCTGTCAGTATTCACTGTCTTATTTCTTACTGTGTCAGTATTGACTGTGTCAGTGTTCGCTGTGTGCTAGTCCTCACTCTGTGTCAGTACTCTCACTGTGTGCCTCTACTAACTGTGCCACTACTCGCCATGTCAATGGTCACCCTGTGTGTTAGTCTTTACTGTGTTTCAGTCCTTACACTGCGTTAATACACAATGAGTCCTCACACTGTACCAGTACTCAAGGTGTCAATCCGCACTTTGTGTCAGTATCCACACAGTGTGTACTGACTGTGTCAGGACAACCATTACATCTGTATTTGAAGATTTCGTGACTGCAGTAATCCATACACTTTGGTTCGTTCGGTAAAGTCACGTAAGTAGAAAAATATAATAGATCACGATGTTTCGATCGCAACACAAGCAATCGTCCTCAGGTGAAAATTTATATAGCGAGAGCTGCTGAAACACGAAGTTTTTTATGGTAAGTGGGCGGTGCTAGAGGTGGAATTTGCATGTAAATGTAAGATCGGTGGTGGGCCTCCACGCCGACGACTCAGTTGTGGAGGTGGACATTGTATTGTGAGAGATTAGCATGTCAATGTAAACGAACAGGAGCAACGGTGGCTGTATTAGTGATGTACTTCCACGATGACGATCGCAGCTGTGGAGGTGGCCATTGCATTGTGAGCACACACTGAGAGACACACTCAGACACAGGGAGAGACAAACATACAGAGAGACACGTTCAGAGAGAGAGACATATAGAGAGACACACACACAGAGACACACAGAGAAAGAGACACACCTAGAGAGACACAGAGAGAGACACACAGAGAGAGACACATACAGAGACATACACAGAGAGACACACACAGAAAGACACACCCAATACACAGAGACACACACACAAAGTGACACACAGAGAGACACACATACACACAGAGAGACACAAAGAGAGAGGGACACATGCAGGGAGACAGAGAGAGACACACAAATAGAGAGACACACAAAAACATCACAGTCAGTTATAGTCGGTTAAAAAACGAGAGCCATCGCCCCATCGAGGGGAAGGAGCAGCGTTGGCTGTGTTAGTGAGACATTTAGTCCGTTAATATAAAGACATTTAACTGGTAATGTAACTTAGAGAGTCAGAAATAACTGTTAGGTAGGATGCATTGACATGCTAATCTCTCACAATACAATGGCCACCTCCACAGCTGAGCCGTCGGCGTGGAGGCCCACCACAGATCTTACCTTTACATGCAAATTCCACCTCTATCACTGTGTCAATAATCTCAGTGTGTCAGTCCTCTTCACTGTGTCACTACTCACTATGTGTGTGAGTACTCACAGTAATCATGCTCACTATCAGTACCCAATCTCTATCAGTGCCCACTCTTGTCAGTACTCACACTGTCAGTACCTACTGTGTGTCAATACCCACTGACTGTGTCAGTACTGTACTACCTGTGCATCACTACTCACAGTGAGTCAGTACTCACACTGTGTCAGTACTCTCACTGTGCCTCTACTGTGTCAGCACTCACCACTTGTCAGCACTTGTTGTGTAAGTACTCTTACTGTAAGTACTCAATTTATGTGTTTGTATTCGCTGTGTTCCAGTACTCGCTGTGTGTCAGTACCCTCTACTAACTGGTTAGTACTTACCATGTCTCAGTCCTCACCCTGTGTGTTAGTTCTCACTAACACATCAGTACTGACTGTCAGTACTAACTTTATATCAGTACTCTCACAGTGTGGGTGCGGTATGGTTCATGAGAATCCCCGGTGTGGTACAGTTCATGGAAATCCCTGGTGATGGTGCAGTACAGTTCATGGGAATCCCTGGTGATGGTGCGATACTGACTCTGATCTGACGTCGTAACATAATCCACCAGGCTGCGAGTGCTCCACTCCATGGGTCTCTGTAGGGAATCCGGGACGTTGGAGGCGTCCGGCGAGAGGGACGTCAGCATCTTCATGTAGAGCTCTGAGAGACGGTGAGAGATGTCAGACAACAACTCAATATCATGCACAGTATTTACATCTAAAGTGAGGGAAAAAAGTATTTGATCCCCTGCTGATTCTGTACGTTTGCCCACTGACAAATAAATGATCAGTCTATAATTTTAATGGTAGGTTTATTTGAACACTGAGAGACAGAATAACAACAAAATCCAGAAAAACGCATGTCAAAAATGGTATAAATTGATTTGCATTTTAATGAGGGAAATAAGTATTTGACCCCTCTGCAAAACATGACTTAGTACTTGGTGGCAAAACCCTTGTTGGCAATCACAGAGGTCCGACGTTTCTTGTAGTTGGCCACCAGGTTTGCACACATCTCAGGAGAGATTTTGTCCCACTTCTTTTTGCAGATCTTCTCCAAGTCATTAAGGTTTCGAGGCTGACGTTTGGTAACTCGAACCTTCAGCTCCCTCCACAGATTTTCTATGGGATTAAGGTCTGGAGACTGGCTAGGCCACTCCAGGACCTTAATGTGATTCTTCTTGAGCCACTCCTTTGTTGCCTTGGCCGTGTGTTTTTGGTCATTGTCATGCTGGAATACCCATCCACGACCCATTTTCAATGCCCTGGCTGAGGGAAGGAGGTTCTCATCCAAGATTTGACGGTACATGGCCCTGTCTATCGTCCCTTTGATGCGGTGAAGTTGTCCTGTCCCCTTAGCAGAAAAACACCCCCAAAGCATAATGTTTCCACCTCCATGTTTGACGGTGGGGATGGTGTTCTTGGGGTCAGAGGCAGCATTCCTCCTCCTCCAAACAGGGCGAGTTGAATTGATGCCAAAGAGCTCTATTTTGGTCTCATCTGACCACAACACTTTCACCCAGTTGTCCTCTGAATCATTCAGATGTGCATTGGCAAACTTCAGACGGGCATGTATGTGTGCTTTCTTGAGCAGGGAGACCTTGCGGGCGCTGCAGGATGTCAGTCCTTCACGGCGTAGTGTGTTACCAATTAGTAACCATGGTCCCAGCTGCCTTGAGATCATTGACAAGATCCTCCCGTGTAGTTCTGGGCTGATTCACCGTTATCATGATCATTGCAACTCCACGAGGTGAGATCTTGCATGGAGACCCAGGCCGAGGGAGATTGACAGTTATTTTGTGTTTCTTCCATTTGCGAATAATCGCACCAACTGTTGTCACCTTCTCACCAAGCTGCTTGGCAATGGTCTTGTAGCCCATTCCAGCCTTGTGTAGGTCTACAATCTTGTCACTGACATCCTTGGAGAGCTCTTTGGTCTTGGCCATGGTGGAGAGTTTGGAATCTGATTGATTGATTGCTTCTGTGGACAGGTGTCTTTTATACAGGTAACAAACTGAGATTAGGAGCACTCCCTTTAAGAGTGTGCTCCTAATCTCAGCTCGTTACCTGTATAAAAGACACCTGGGAGCCAAAAATCTTTCTGATTGAGAGGGGGTCAAATACTTATTTCCCTCATTAAAATGCAAATCAATTTATAACATTTTTGACATGCGTTTTTCTGGATTTGTTGTTATTCTGTCTCTCACTCTTCAAATAAACCTACCATTAAAATTATAGACTGATCAGTTCTTTGTCAGTGGGCAAACGTACAAAATCAGCACGGGATCAAATACTTTTTTCCCTCACTGTATATGATGTGAAACATTACACGGGGTCATCCGTTTAACATTCAATATATTTGATGTGTCTACAGATTCCCTGGTGTAGGTGTGGTACGGTTAATTGGAAATCGGCTGTCTTTGGCTGTCTTATTTTGCTGTTCCTCGTGATAGCTTTTAAATGTTGTGAAAATGAGCATACACAACCGCAGCATGAACATGCCTCAAACACAGCTGATAGTCCACGTGTGCTATCGACCACGTGACTCTCCTTGGCTGTGTACAGAGAATCCGCAGCCCCTGTGCTCACGCAGGAACTTGTGGCTGTGCTGCACTCGGCTGCGTTAGCTTTGCTCTCTCGACCTGCTGGTTTTACTTCACCCCGCAGTCGCCTGTATTGAACTGCACCAAAACATTGCACATCAGCGATCTCCTGCACCAATTGGCAACAAAGAAAAGTCCAGAGTGCGATTGGGGTCACCATTTCCAAAACAATGGACCACGTTGTCCATCACTGCCCACTTTGATCAATCGCTGGCAGCATTTCAGATGTTCCTGGAGCTTGTCCTAAAACCACCCACTGGCTCACCAATCTGGAGACGGACATTGACAAGTTTCTGATCAACTCCCATGATCTGTAAGAAGAAAGCTCACAGTTTGCATTGCGCCTGGTTAACGTGGCTCTCTCTGTACACTCAATGTGGGGAGAGGCAGCGGCACTGCAGGGTTAATGCATTTGTGGAGGGGCACAACAGTGCTGGGTGGGGAGCAGAGTACAACAGCAACAAACCCTCTAAAGCTGCACACAGAGGCTGCCCTGACCCTAGTGCGGCGATTATCCCTGTGCCAGGCTCAGCTACAGAGATACCACGAGGCCCGGTTTACAAGCTGAGTGAGTGTCTCACACTCAGATTATCGCGCAGTGGTGAATGTGCCAAGTAAACCACACAGGCACAGCACACACATGGAATCTCCGAGCAGCTCTTGGTGCTGAGAATCAGACGCTGGGTGAGTGTCACAGCTCACCCTGCATGGGACCTTGAAGCACCGAGGCCACAGTGAGGAGCAGCGCGGCTCTCGCCCGCAGCTCCTGCAGGCCGAGCGCTGGGCTGGGCAGCTCGGTTCCCTAACCAGGGTAGCGTGGCCCTGCTGCTTAGCTGTGGCACTGAGGCGCTGGGACCACTCATGTCCCAGTAACTGGAGGCTTGTGGACTGCAATGTGCACAGCCAGGTCCATCAGGGAGATGGAGATTTTATCGTTGCAGTGCAATCGCTGTGCCGTGTAGTGAGGAGCAGCACCCACCTATACCGCCCTCCTTGTGGAAGGCTCTTTCGAGGGCGGATTGCTCCTCCAAGTTGTATGGATCATAGATTACACCGATCCTCTGCAGGGTTGAGATGGTGGATTTGTCAAACCTGTAAAACAAGGGGTACAGTTGAGGATTCGAATGACTTTATTTTTAAATCGAACAAAATGCTAATACACAAATGTAATCGATAGCAATGTTATGAATGTTTATGCAGAATATTGTGAATTTGTTTGATATGTTTGCAGATCGATCTGTTAGATCATAGACTATTAGACCTGCCCACATGATATGTGAATATTTAATTAAATGTTTCTAGTCACACTGTAAAAGCAATGAAAAATAAAATACCGATAATATTATATGACTTAACTACTAGATCGTATTATTGTCATTATGCGTGTTTGCCCAGAAAGCTTCACTGACTATTCTGAGAAGGGTCCTACTCTAAATTCCAATGGAGTATTTTACGGGTTCTGTAATTGTTTAAAATTTAACAAATGTGCACTGCGATACCAGCACATAATGGGCAACTTTTGTGAATGACGCCACGGGATCTTTACCATCCACTGTACAGCAGGTGGTGTGTGCCACGGGGCCACGCAGGGCGGCTACGAGAAGCCCTCCTCGCCCAGTGCCACCCGGAGCACGCGGCCTCCAGTCCCCTGCAATGCTCAGGAGTCCCCCCGCGCCTCTCTCGCTCACTCATCTCTCTATATTCTCCCTGTGAGAATCCCTCTCTTTTCTTACTCACCTCTCAGCTGGGCGATGGAGGCTATGCACATGGTCTGTAATCGAGCACTGGAGACGAAGGTTGGTGGATCACACAAATGTTGTCAAACTTCTTTCCCATGTTCGTCAAGATGGCATACCCTGGCTTGCCATGAGACTACGGTACAGCAAGTGGACTAATCAACATCTGTTTCCATATGTATGGTGATAGTGTGGGTATCTCCAGGTGCTCATAAATTGTCTGGAAACATCTAAACAAACACATCTCTCTATTTTCTTTCCCTTCTCCCTGTTTTTATTCCATGGCCTCAATTCCCGGTGTCACCTCACCTCCCCTAGGTCTCTCCAGGTCCCCTGTCTTGGCCTTTGCACTGAGAGAAGTCGTTTTGGATTCAAGTATCAGCTGCACTCCTCACTCTAACCATTGAATTGAGATAACATCGCTTTCTTGTCTGTACTTAAAACGTAGAGTAGCAGAGTACCCCATTGTGGGTGAAGGGATGTCTCTCACCTGGAGAGCTTCTTCAGGTCGTCCAGTAGAATCCGCACCTGCTCCATCTTCTTCTTGAATCTCTCGTCTGTCACAACAGCAGCAGAATAAGCCGAATTACTGGGGATTGCTGGAGTCCCACTCGACTCCATTGACTCACGACTATTGTGTTCCAGGAGCATGGAACAGCTGTCCCCTCCACTGATTGCCTTGAGCCCATGGTGGAAATTCTACATTGCCATGACAGATACCGTATTCTCTACAGCATAGCACCATGCTTCCCAATGAACAGAACTCATTTTACTGATAACAGAGATAGTGGGCTGAGTAGTCCCTCAATGAGGATTGAGCTTTCAACCTTCTGACTGTGAGTGGTGTTCTCTGCCATAGCACCGACTGTCAATCCCTGTGCCTAAGGGTCCCAGCCAGGCTCCAGCTACAAAACTCGAGGTGGTCAGATCAGGGCCCTGAGAGCTCAACACGATGGCCGCTGCTTTAACGCCAACAGGGAGCAGAGTCGCTCCGCGCCCCCCACAGCTCCATGCGGTACGAGACGCGCGCACTCCACGTGCGGTGGCCGCGCCCTCCCCACGGCTTCCGGTAGCGCCACTGCAACACACCGCGTCGCGCTGGGACGCGGGAGCCGCAGGAGAGCGGCGCGAGCGCAACCCCCCTGAGCCTGTGAGCAGCGCGTCCCGCACGGAGGGAGAGAGAGCTCCACCCACAGCGGGCCGCGTGGCGCTGCTCTAGAGACCCCGCCAGTGACCGGGCGGGTTATGAGCACCGAGCCCAGCGCTGAGGGAGCTGTGAGGGGCGCTCGGCGTCTGTCACGCCGCTTGGCAATGCCTGTGGATGGAGACTCAGCGTGCGTGTGGCTCCCACGGTCACAGACGCGGCACGCAGGGTCCCGCACGCATTATAGTGAGTAGTGGCTCAAACATGCATGCACTTTGGGTATAATTGAATTAAAATATAATAATAACAATGTGATGTGATATATTGAAATCTATACCATTGGACTCATGGCTCCTTGTACAGAAGGCCATGTCCGTGTCGAGATTTGTACCTTAGGGCCATGCATGTACACGGCTGTGTGCTCAGGCCATGCGTGTACAAAGGCTATTCACACAGCGTGTAGAGGGTAGAGCTACGGGGCGGTGGTAAGGAGGCTAAGCTCATGACCCCATGAACCAGGTTCTGAGGTTAAGGCTCGTATGGCCCCGGGTCCCGACTCCTGCACGAACCTGTAGCCATGGCTTCACGTGCTCAGCTCGCAGAGTCACTTTCAACGATGGAACCGCTCCCTCCTTACGGCGCTGTGGGAACAGAGAGGGAGATCAGTGAGGGAGGAACAGCTGTGGGAACAGAGAGGGAGATCAGTGAGGGAGGAACAGCTGTGGGAACAGAGGGAGGAACTGTGGGAACAGAGATGGAGCTCAGTGAGAGAGGAACAGCTGTGGGAATAGAGAGGGAGCTCAGGGAGGAACAGCTGTGAGAACAGAGAGGTAGCTCAGTGAAGAAGGAACAGCTGTGGGAACAGAGAGGTAGCTCAGTGAAGGAGGAACAGCTGTGGGAACAGAGGGAGGAGCAGCTGTGGGAACAGGGAGGGAGATGAGTGAGAGAGGAACAGCTGTGGGAATAGAGAGGGAGCTCAGGGAGGAACAGCTGTGAGAACAGAGAGGTAGCTCAGTGAAGGAGGAACAGCTGTGTGAACAGAGAGGTAGCTCAGTGAAGGAGGAACAACTGTGGGAACAGAGAGGGAGATCAGTGAGGGGGGAACAGCTGTGGGAAGAGGGAGATCACTGAGGGAGAAACAGCTGTGGGAACAAAGGGAGATCAGTGAAGGAGAAACAGCTGTGGGAAGAGGGAGATCAGTGAGGGAGAAACAGCTGTGGGAACAGAGGGAGATCAGTGAGGAAGGAACAGCTGTGGGAACAGAGGGAGATCAGTGAGGGAGAAACAGCTGTGGGAACAGAGGGAGATCAGTGAGGAAGGAACAGCTGTGGGAACAGAGGGAGATCAGTGAGGAAGGAACAGCTGTGGGAACAGAGGGAGATCAGTGAGGGAGAAACAGCTGTGGCAACAGGAGCGTGAAGATTTCTTCATAACGGTGATTATTATAGCCGCCTGCAGGAGTTTTAATAATCGCAGGGAGTTGTGGGTCATGATCCTCCACAATGGCGCGTCATGAGCTTTGTGAAGTTTCTAGGCAACACGAATGATCAGCAAATCATTGAGGGTGCTGGGATACTAGTGATGAGTGTGCAAGCAGTGGCAGCTGTCATTACCATTGCCACGTTTATGCACAACCCATATCAGCTGTGGATCACAGCAAAATAATCAGGTAGAGCTGTGGCACAGCAGTTAGCACAGTGCGATGTAAACCTGGCGACCTGCGTTTGATTCCTGGTCACGGCCAAAATCAGTGGTGATATTTGAACCAGTCCTGGACCTACACACCCAACACCCCCTACCCCACTTCACCAATTCCCACTGACCAGCGTGAAGTATGGCCAACCATCCCTCTTGAGCCTACATTGTATGGAAAGGCCTCCATCCAACAGTAGATTGCAAAGGGATGTTTTTTTATTTTAGTTAATGAACCCAGCATGGAGTTTAGTGGTGGAAATGAGAGAACATCTCACCCATCAACCACTGGGTTCACCAGGACTACTTTATCTCAGTGGCATTCACTTAGACAAGGCCAGTCCTGCCAGGGTTCGCCTCCACTGAGTCCCATCAGCAGGGTGTGGCCAGTAAACAAACGCCACTGGGTAACCTGATGGAGAGACATCCACCATCACCGTGGGGCCGCAGTGGCTATGGCCGTGCTGTTCCCTGGCGAGTAACGGGTGATGATGCGACTGAAGCAGCAGGTGCGGGGTTTGTTTACTCACTCAGCTAAACCCTGCCTTGGGTTCACCTGCACTGAGTCTCATCAGCATGGTGTACTCCACAAAGCCAATGCCGGGTACCCAGTGCGAGGGATCGTCAGTGGAATTCACTCGCAGCGGGGCCGGCTCCAGAGTGGCGTCAGCTTCTCAAACTCCCCTCGCAGCAGGGGGCGCTCGGGAGCTGCAGAGACGCCCGCAGAGTTCACCACCGACAGAGGCGGAACTCGGCCAACGGCGCTCCGAGACGTGGCTCGGTGGTGGCCGTGCTCAGCGCTGCCGCTGCACTCGCAGCGATGTTCACGCAGGGACCACATAAGCCGCCGCGTGAATCCGCGGAGAAATCGAGGCACAGCGCCGCCTCCATTTCCCGGGGACCCCGAGGCCGCACTCAGCATGGGGGGGAGCACCGTCCCCGTGCTGAGTGCGGTGGCAGCGGCCGGGAGCTCCCGGGGATTCCTGTGAATCCGGCACGGGCCTCCCGACCTCGCATGCGGCCCTACGCATTGCGCTGCGATTCTACGTTTGTGTTATGAGTTAAACACTCACCACTGCTATTTACTTTGTCTGTTATTGGGTCATCCACAGCATAATTTAAACTGGTAGCACCTGCTAGCCATATGGTATCGCAATATTATACAAGAGGCTGGGATCAGCGTTGGGTTTGGGATGAGAGGCTGCACCCTGGTTGGGGTTAGTGACACCGATCATCCCCCAGGGTGGATATCTCTGTCAGCTATCAACGCATTCAACATTCGGGTCTGACTGTGACGTTCCATCCCCCCTCCAACCAGGATCCAGGGCCCAACTCCCAGCAGTGACCCCTTCACTCCTCATGGCAGAGAGACTTTGGCATGAACTTTCACAGTCCAGCCCCTTCCCCAAAACTCCATCTACTCCTCCTACACCCAACCAATATCCATCCCATCACAGCCCATCAACTCACGCAACACTGCCTCCCCTTACCAACCCAGGTTTACCCCTCACCTCTACCAACCATCAGCATACACAGCTGTTACCAGCACCATCTCTCCCTCTCCCAGATTCCCAACCCAACAGGGCTCACGCTAGGTGGCACTGGATCTAAGTTGAAGTTTTCTGTTATAATGGAGTGTAAATGCGAAGAGTATGCCCACAATAAGCAATGAGTGTGTGGATTGCATTGAACTGGATACAGGAGGCTTTATGAATCAGTCTCCATGCACGCGTTGTGAGTGAACGCTGGCTCCGTGTTCACGTCACAGAAGCAGAGCCTAGCGATGCCATTGAACCCCACCACTCTTGACCGGACCTCCCTGCATCGATCGTTGAAGCCAAGTAGTTTGAGCCTGGTTCGTACTTGACGTGAATACCTCGGGGATTCCAGGTGCCAATCCGATTCTCGTGATTCATGTCCATCAATCACTACCTGACATACTCTTTGGTTCTTTCGGTAAAGTCACGTAGGTATAAAATAAAATAAATCACGACGTTTCGATTGCAACACAAGCAATCATCATCAGGTGGGAAAACCACAGCAATAACATGTTTTGCTGAAGTGGGAGAGAGAGTTGCCGTGGTAAGAGGTTATACAGGCAAGAAAGGGGGAGGAGCAAGGGGGGAGAGGGAGGGGTGCGGGTGTGGGGTAGGGGGAGCGCTGCGTGGACGCCAGGAGAGGGACGCGAGGCTGGGGGGGGGGAAGTGGGCGGGGCTGGGAGTGGGAGGCCGAGAGAGCTGGGGATGCGGAGGGGTTAACTAGGAAAAATAGAGTAGTAGTAGTACCCGGCAGATATGATAGACAACCACGACAAAGCAGTTCGGGTTTTACCTGGTTAATAACATCCTTCCAATGATTGCACAATCTGTATCCATCTTCTCGGTTGAGGTTTATACCTACGTGACTTTACTGAAAGAACCAAAGAGTATGGATCCCTGCAGTCACGAAAACTTCAAATCTAGATTACTACTTGACTTCTTCCCAATCAACTGCAGATCATATATGGAAGGTAAAACCCATACTTTTATATGATGTATTATTATTATTACATGACAACTCAAGTGATTTGTCTGCTCAACTTAGCATTGAGGGGGTTCTCATATACCGAGTATAACCCTTAGCCAGTGTTGAAAATGTCACGGTAGTACAGCAGGGGCGAGTCTATCCAGAGTACAACCACTGGTTGACTTCCCCGCAAAGTGGTACTCATTTTATAGACACCAGATGGATGATGAACTCGCAGCCTCCCGACTGTGAGCCATGCACTCTCCCGCTGGGACACCTGGTCGGCTGCGCTGTTATCAAGACAACGTGAACACAATTGCTACAGTCTCCATTAGAGTATTGCCAATAAACTGCAGATTATCACAGAGTTTAGTTGGTTGCTCTGTTGTTGAGACACAGGAATGGTGCTATACGGTGTGAGCCCATGTGCGTGTGCAATGAGGCACATTTCCCAAGGCAAATGCTACTTAAATTTAAATGTTAAATAAAACTGTCGCTTTACATCGTAGACCCTGTTATATAAACAGGGAATTTTCCACCGACTCAAATCACCAACAGATCTGATCCACAGACAACATTCATTTGGACATCGGAGACGCCAGACTCCCTCGCCCATCCACAGCAATGGTTATTCAAGTCCAGTGTTCTAGTACCACGGCTACCACACCAGCCACCCGGTGCTGCCTCACAACTCGGAGGCACAGAGGCTGCTGCTGTGTTGGACGACTCAGCTTCTACATTCGCCCGACAGTTTCTGCGTTGAGCTCGGCAAGAGAAGTGTGGAGAGGGTGGCGGAGTGGCCGAGAGGGAACTCTGCTGAGGCCGCGCAGCCCCGAGGGTGGAGCGGTCCCCGTGCTGGGGCCCACAGAGGCTCGCACGGCACGGGGCCTGAGGGGCCATGACGTGACCAGGACTGCGTGGTAGTACATCAAGTAGGTTGCTGCCCTGTACTGTCTAGGGATGCTGAGTGGTAGCCCCTCGTATGCGAAGGGATACCCCCCAATTTGTCCGGTTGCTCCCTCACACGTGAACGCTCCGTCAGGAATTTGCCAAACATCCCCCACTGGACCCTCGTTACACGAGTTGTGTCTCTGTGATTGTGTCTTGAATACGAGACAATCACCAAAACACTTAACTACACCCCTAGACACAACCATTGTATGTTATTAAAAGTACAACGTCCGTAGTGAAATGCACCCAATGACAACGCTGTGGCGAGTCGCACTGCACGGAGCAAGCCCCTCAGAGTGTCTGCAGGCAGCGCGAGACGGGGTCCGGGTTGGGGACGACCCCGGCCTGAGCATCGTCAGCCCCGCAGTCTCAGAGGCCGCGGTTCGATTCCTGCACTGCTCGCTCGTTTGTGTCAGGAACGACCGAATCACGCGGTCGGCTCTCGAGTGGACGTTAAAGACCCAGCCCTGACGCCATTCGAGAGAAACGACTT